TCACCTTGGACACGGGAACACAGAATACCGGGGTCCTATCTTATCCGCGAAGAAGTTTATAGCCCGGTCGACTCTAATTGGGCGAGAAATCATCGGGCACTCCTTTTCTCCGTCCGCACGCTCAAAAAGACTCTCACTAATTCACGATTTCTCGCGTATTATTGCCGGATCGCGCCACTTCCTCCCCCCTTTCCTCCTCCCCTCTCGCTTCTCTGTCAAAACCTTTTTCTCCTCCTTCTTTCTGGATCCTTAGTAACGAGCAAACATCATTTTGAAAGGCTTCGACACTTTCGATATATCGACGCTTAAATTAAGCTGTAATGTTTTTATGCAGTGTCGTCGTACATTTATATTTTGCGAAAATTTAAAAGGAAACAGACTTGTGTAGATAAGCGATTATTGAACACCCAAATGATTGTCTTGATTATATACAGAGATATCGCTTATTTAATTATTTCTACACTGTTGAAAGAGATTTTCAAGAGTGAAATGAATGCAATTAAAATGCAATTTTTTTATAATTTATAAAAGCGAATTACTTATTAATGAAGTGTCTCGTTCCGTAATAAAAGTCTACGTGTTCAGTGTCTCGAATCTAAAAAAAAAATGCTCATAGAACCTTTTATAAAAATCTCAAAACAGCTATTAATGCGTATAAACTTTTTGTTTTATCTCGCGCTTGATGTTAACGCGTACTTTCATCAATTAAAAGAAGGCGTTCGTCGTTAATCTCTTCTTTCTCGTACAAAATGTTTGAATATTTTTTTCACTGATCAGCGTGACGGAAATGGCTTAACGCAATTTACGATGATCAAACAAGCCGTGTCGGTAATTCTTTCGTCCTAATTCTCGTTAACATCCTTATATTTCAACTTAAGCACGTAAGCTGTGCGGTTATGCCTACACGATAAGAACGATTTTGCTGAGATATATCAAAATTTAAGTAGATACAGATCTGAAAATAATTTTGTTGGACCATAAAAATAATTATATAGGAAATTCAAGCATGAAAAGCAATATCGTAAAAAGTTTTGACATATTAGTTTGAGCGTCCTACATAATTATTTTGAGGATTCAACAATATTTTTTTTAAATTTCTGACATGTAACTGTTAAGTCCACATTTTCACTTTATAATTTATTGATTTTTAATTGTTGTGACTACATCCTTTGGCTGTTTCATCAAACTTTCTTACGTATTTCACATCAAAATATTAAACTTTATGCTTACATATATTTTTTATCATATATTGGTTGTATCCCTGACGTGAATCAATTTTTAAACTATATTTGCCTCTTTGAATTTTTTATTTTTTAGTTTGAACTATTTTAATTATATTTAAGCACTCACTTTATTTGATACCATTCAGCTTTCCGACTTGTTACGAAATAACTCTCCCTTGGAGGTGATTTTGACCACTTTATATGGACCGCGACTGATAGTGTGTCAACACATCGATTTTTCTTTGTTCTTGATTGCTAATGACTTGAAATTAGCCGAAACGTAAATACGTTATAATATCAAATATTTTCAGAATTACAACTTTCCTCTATTATTAGTTATTATTAAAATGATTTTCGTATCTGTGTCTAGTTAAATTTGTAAATACTTGAACCGTTCTTTTCGCGTGAACCCGGTAATGTGGGATTTGGAGCGGACGCGCAATCTCGGCAGGCAATATCTCATTGAGCAAGGGAGGAGGTGACTTTAACGTTGGCTCTCTCCCATCTTGCACCCCTTCCGTAAGCAATCGCGGCTTGAGACGGGGCCGACGTGCCCGCCGAGAGAGTAAGATCGTTAATCTTGCCGCGCGCCGATCGGGCGCAGATAGTAATTGTTACGTTCTGCTTTCCTGTGGCCGACCGTTCGACCGTGTCCGACGAGCCTCCTCCGAGGACTCGAGTCGTCCCTCTCTCTCTCTCTCTTTGCGTTCTATTTCCCACCTTTCTTATTCCACGTGCGTGCACGCGCTCGCTCGCATGTCTCTTTTCTTCGCGTCGGGACTGTCGGGAGTCGCCGACCGATCCTCACCCACCGGCAGCATTAACGCCTTCGGCGAGTCTGTTGGCACTACAATGCCGATATCCGTTCGCCACTCTTCTGCCGACTGTGTTTGCGTTGAATCTCTTTAGTTTGTATACCGTGTAACGACGGCAGGTGAATGGAATCGCGCGTGCGGAAGTTGAATAGACCGAAGCTGCACGAAAAGAACAATTACGGTGCTAAAGTATCTCAAAATTTAACTAGATATGGATCTCTGAAACCAATTTTATTAGACCATCCAAATAATCATGTAAGAAGCTCGATCTGCCTCCCGGAATGTCAAAAACATCTTATACTTATTATTTAATTATTTTTTATTTTAATAGTCCAACAAAATTATTTTCAGATCTATATCTAATTAAATTTTTAGATACTTCAGCAAAATTGTTCTTTTCGTGTAAAACCGCACGTTTAAAGTAACGACGATTCGTAAAAGAAAAAGTAATCGATAGCAAATTTAAGGAACAATTAATTGAAAAAAAAATTGACCAGCAAACTTTCTTTAAATTCTAATCATTTGCTGTTGCTCAAAGTTGGTCCATCAGGAAACGGTGGGCCTTTTCTCTGAATAAAGAAACCAGCACGATATATCGCTATCCTTTATCCAGGCTCTGATTTCGTTATTGGGCATCCTCCATCTGTTTTACCGTCCACTTTCAGATGGCTCAAATTACTTGTACGCGTATGATGGTTGCTCCCGCAAGCCTGATTGCGTGACTTGTCGGGGAGCCCGTTTTTTATACTATCCTGATATCCATACTGCCGTCCAGACTGTCGGAATCGTTTCATTCACGCGCTAGTAGTATCGCCCAGAATTCCCATTTTAGAATCCTGTTACCAATGCGGAGACATGCGCGTGAAAAGATACGTCGATTTGCCATGTTAACGCCATTAACGAGTTCGCTCGTATTACATACTCGGCGACGTCTCTCGTTTCTCGTCTCGCCTCCCTCCGGTCTTCCAAGTCCGTTGGCTTCGCGTTTCCTCGTCCTGCCGTGCGGGATATCCTCGGCTCGTGAAGCCGAGCATGTCCATAAATTCGCTTCTCGCGTTGACCATTGACGCGGGCCACGATATCCGAAATGTCGCGAGGATCCAATGTTTTCGTGCTCTCAACGGCAACAAGCGATTCTGCTCGTGGAAGAGTGTCGTTCGGAGAAAACCAGTTTCGCGCGCAGATTCCTTATTTGCGAGCCCGACGAAACCGTAGATTCGAGTTAATCGTCGATGAGCCTTCCCTCGTTCGTGAGATTTTTTCTCCCCCTTTCCTTGCACCTATCCTTCTCTATCTTCGCCTCCAAGCATCCTTTGGCTCGACGCAACTCGCGTCTTCCGACTAGTCTCAACATGATCTCTGTTGTTGATTTGTCCTGGCAGTGATTATGCCGTCAGGCACATTCAAACAAAATAACATAATTGCTGACAATATATAAATGACAAGTTCTAAATGTCGAATTAATGTAATATTTTGAAAGAAATATTTTGCTAAAATATCTATAAATTTTACTAAATATAGATCTGAAATTAACTTCGTTGGATCATCAAAATAATTATGCAAACCACTTAAACATTAGCTGCGTTCAGCAAAAAAATAGCTTTGCAACTATTGCAAAATTCTGTAGTCTTTAGTTCTTCTTGAGGTTAACTCCTTAGTGAATCTATAAATGTATAAACTAATTATATTAAAAAATCTTACAACAGTCGCGCAAAGTTATTCTTTCTGCTGAATGCAAGCTCTAACGACAATGTTGTAAAAAGTTTTAACATTCTGGCAACCAATTTAAGTATTCTGCATAATTATTTTGACGACCCAAACAAAATTATTTTCGGATTTATATCTAGCTAAAATTTTGATACTTAAACAAAACCATTCTTTTTATATAGTTGACTAAATTATTTTATAGTTATTATTACAATTATAAAATAGTTTTTCAGCTATATACATTAATTCTACATAATATAAATTTGTATTGTTTTTCTCTGATTGTAGAATTGACGTTTATCCGTCGCGAATTTTGATTCTATCGCATTTAAGTATAGGTATTTAATGAAAATCTTGAAGCGCGAGAGAAAACACGCGATGTATGAATACTTTCACGGCAGATAACGCGCGTGTGCATTCGCGAAGAGCAAAAGAAGGGGCTATCTAGGATTATTTTCTCAATTTTTTGCACAGTAAATCGAACGTTATCTGACAAATTTGCGCTATGTTCTATGGAACATTAAGCAGGCTAGATAATTTTACCTTTCTTGTACCGTGTTCGTTCCTTTTCTTCTGGCTATTGACAAAACGGCAATTTAAGTAGATATGTACACGGCTGAACGGACGCGAAGTCGATATTCGCGAGCAGTTTAATAAGAGATAAGCACGGGAAGAGTATTAGACTTCAGGTGCGCGATCCGTAGCGGAATATCTTGTACCGCGTTAGAAGATATGCGGAAATATATTCCACCGAAGATAATTGCCGTAAAGGTATAAATCAGAGGGTACCTGGAGCAGCTTGTGATATCGATTACTTTATGTATTTATTATATAGATGTACAGTTCATAGAACAAACAATTGTTAAATTTAGATTATTAAGTAAATGTCTTGCATTTTGGTATTTTTTCATACTTTATTGTTTTTAATGTTTAAGTTTGGGTAAATTTAAAGTAATTTTTAAAAACTATTCGGGAAACAAGAAGTTTGTTCATGTCGCATGCTCCTGTTCAAACATACTGCTAGCACGTTGGAGTGAATAGGAGTTATGGTAGAAGCATATTGGAGCATGTTAGAGCATGCGACACTAACAAATCTTTGACGCCAAATTTTAACGCCAAAACGATGTCACTTTGTGTTTCTTGGATAATAAACAGTTAAGATATTTAGGATTGGAAGGAAATTGATTCGTTAAATAAATGAGAGTGTAAGATATTTATGTAAATTTATTCAATATAACATATTATATTGTGCGGATATTTGATGGCTCGCCAAAAAAACAGTTTTGTCTGTCGGAGAATAGTTAGAAGAATTTGGAAGAGTTTGCAAGAGAGAATGGGTTGTGACGCCGTGTGTAGATATTTACAAACGGTTTCATTTAAATAAACATTATTTTAATACAGTTCATATAGAATTATCTGTGTTTCCGATTATTTCTATTTCAAATATCTAGTTAACGCATATCCCTAATTTATAAAGATTCGCTAGGACTAGTTCCGAATGAGCTCGAACAATCTCATTCTTTCTTCACGGTATATATTTTTATTCTCTACTCGCACGAATGGCTTCCCAGGTAGATTTGAGCGATCTAACAGCGTTTACTTTTACCACGCGATATGCATCGATCACTTATCTAATCAACAATAATAATTACAATGACATTGATGACGTTGCATTTTAATATTATACAGCTCGCAACACTTATTCGCATCCGCGATCTTAAGAAATCGTTCATGTTTCGTGTAATAAGCAGTTCCGTAGATATTAAAAACTTCAACCAATAGAGAGAAGAGCCGAGCCCGACATTAATGAGAAGAGAAGAAATATTAGATAAACACATACACGGTGCCGCATCTGATGCTACATGCCGATAATTATCGATTCGAGTCCGTTGAAGATGCAGCACGTTATCAGTTTATCACTTGATCACTCGCGTGCTAATAACGTCGATTCCGGATCGATGTTTTGCGGTTTACTAATATCTATTCGTGATTTTCTGTACTTTGCGCAACGTAAAAAAAAAAAAAACATTTTCATCTCACTTTTGCACTCTTATCGGTCACGAATATATTTAAAAAAACTGGTGCAGCAACACACTTTGAACACTGGTAGTTACTGATCCACGCAACGTATGTCCAGCGAATATTTTTCAAGAAATAAAAACTGCAATGCGGCCGCTCGATTTGCGAAAACATTACTCCGGATTTAACGACCACGTCGCTCGAAATCAAAACTGAGATACCACATCTCGTTCAGCGATCATGCTTCGTCAATTCCAACGGTTGTTGGTCAGTCCAATGATCTCTCCAAGCGACCGGTGGCGACGACGGTATATCCTGGTCGGAGTCTTGAACGTCGATCTCCTCGTCTTCGTCCTCGTTCTGATCGTAGCGTATCCTATGCGCCGATCCTGGACGCGGACCAAGACCGGATGATTGCCGCTGATCGTAGACGGGACTGGTCGGTCTCGAAAGTCCGGACGAATCGTCACCCACGAGTTGACTGATCATCCGGAAGGCGCTAGGTTTCCTTTCCGGTTGCTTCGGTACCGACTCGTGCCTGTCGATCCTCTCGGGTCGGTCGAGGCCGCCCGCGCCGGTGTCCCTGGTTGCGGAATTAGCGACAACCGCGCGGAACGCGCTACTTTCGCCGCCCATGCCGGCGATGGAGCAGCTGGACGTACGCTGGCCGATTTCCATAGCGGACGTAGCGGAGTGCGGTTGCTGCGGCGGCGGCTGCGGCTGCGGCTGCGGCGGTGGTGGTGGTGGTGGAGGCGGTGGTGGCGAGCGCTTTAAGAGGTTCATGCGTTGGTGACGACGCCACTTTGCCCGTCTGTTGGAAAACCAAACCTAAGAGTCACGAGTTAGGTCGTTAGAACGCTCGTGATCAGGTCGGACAGGAACGACGCGGCTGTTATCCGCAGGGTCTTCTCCAATTTATATGTTAATGTCGAATTAGACCCTGCGTCGTCGCATCGGCTCTTTATCTTTATCTAGTGGTAGAATCTCACCTGAACGCGGGCTTCTGAGAGCGACGTTTTCGAAGCGAGACGTTCACGCGTGGACACACACGGGTAATGCGATCTCTCGAATTCCTTTTCGAGCTCCTCGAGCTGTTCCGGACTGAAAGTCGTGCGGTTCCGCCGGAACTTTGGCTGCTCTGAACCGTCTAAGCTTCCGTCATCGCCGTCGCCATCTGTACATTAATATAGAAATACGTTTTCTATGGGCTGTACGTTTCTGTATACAACAGCCCAATAATAATAAACATTGTTTATTAACATTTTATATATTGCTAAACTACCTAACAAAATTCAAAATATACTGTGTAACTTCTAAGTAAATATAAAATTGGGAAAATTTATATTTAGAATAGTTCTTATATGACTGATATGAAAATATTCTGATTTTTCTACAAGCAATATAAAATAATACATTTTGAAAGGTTAGGATATTGAAAAATGTCGATTTGATGCAACTATGTATTTGCTCAATATATGAATACTGATAAACGTTTAGCAAAATTTGTACGAATATTAGTTAAAATCGCCCAAACATTAATGAAAATTGTCAATAATAAAAAATAAAAAAAGATTAAAAACTCTCCTGGCAAAAATAGTATTATGTTTATTGAATGTCTATAAGAAATTCGCTTAAATCTTGAATAGATTAAATAAACTTTCATTGAACTTTAAAATGTTTATTGAATTGTTTATGAGATTGAAATTTAAACATGGAATTGTTTATAAGATGTATACAACTATAAAATGACATAGTTTTAATACATAGTCTCAAACATTTCCATTATACTTTTCGAGATGTTCGTAAAATGTTATTGTCAGCATAAGATTCACCAAGTGTTTGCATCGTGCTTCTAAACGGTGTAACTATCAATAAAATGTTTTATAAACAGTATAACCATCGACAAAACTCTTCATAGACAAACATGAAGACAATCCTTCATTAAAAATGTTCGCCATGGAATTAAACTACATCTCTCTTTTTTTCTTACTCCTCTACGTTTTCATTTCTATGATTATATACGCAAATCTAGGAATCTAATTAATTTATTCGAATGACTCAATTTGATCTTTGGGAAAGAAATGCAAAGTACTTTTATAGAACTAGGCGTAGGCATATTTGATCGAATAGGACAATTTCGCGACGTGAAAGGCGTATCTCTTTGGTCACCTTGTAGATATCCACGAGCAATCGCGTCGGCGGCATGAAGTGCATGCTCGGAAGCGCCCGCGGACGCGGATGCGGCTG